GTTCTTTTCTGGTGTTGATGCATGATTTTCTCCACGCCAAAAGATGAACAATCATCTTTTACTTTGAGAAGCTGGATTCACCTCAAACCACAATTATTCTTTGAGAGCATCAGCACCTTTCTGGCTAATCCTTTTCAAGGAAGCCATTAACTTAAACTGCAAGTTGTACCTCCTCTCATTTTTCAATGACACATGCTTGTTATTATTATTGTTCTGCTTATCAGTGTATCTCTCTTTCTGGGGATGTATTATTTCATGCTTCGACATCTCACCACAAAGTACAGCTATAGTTTCCAACCACATATGTAAGAGTAATTGAAAGAAAAATTTGGAAAGTCTTTGTTGAGGAGACATGTCTCCTAAATCATGTTGAACTGGTAATCAAATGGATTCAATAGTTGCTCTAACTTTAACTCAGCAAAATGAGCCTTTCCAAATCCATGGTAGGAAGTTATTCTAATTGAACCCAGGACCCCTTGTGATAGAAAATGCTGAATTTTCTAAGCAGATTTGAGTTCACGTTCTGGATTGGAGGTGAGACTGGCTGCAGGGATACAAGAGCATCGACCAAGTTCTCTGGAGGCAGCGTTTTTGCTCCTTTGCAACCTTTTAGCCCCAGAATAGCTAAATATTGACTTTACTAGTATGGAATAGCAATGTTGCCCTGGGCTGGTCCTCAGCCACCTGTGCCAGAGACCCCAAGGGATCTCCTTTCCTTACAGAGTGAGAGATAGTATAAAATCTGTCTTTAAGACCACTTTGAATCCTGCTGGAATGGTACAAGGGGATTTGGCTGGCACCAAAATATGTTGGGTTTTTTTTCTTCTTTGAGTCTGATCATGAGGGATGGATTACAAGCCTTTGGAGAGTGATTAGTTATGTTTGTTAAACCAGTTCTTAGCTGGATCCAGCCTTTTGGTCAGGAGTCAGGTGAGGAAGCATAAGTCCAAGTGTGACAGAGAGGAAAACATCATGTGTGTGGCCCACATTTTGTTATTTCTGTTAAAAAAATGTCCCACTGGCTAGATGATGTTACATTAGCCAAGGTGTTCCGCTGCTTTGAGTCGTGCCTCGGCTTCCAGAAAAAAATAATCTCTCCAAATGAACTGACTAATAATTGAGGGAGACCTCAAACGATCCCTAAACAGCCCACATATTAATTAAAGACAGATCAAAGTAGAGTTTCTCCTGTTCTCTCTGGAGGCAATTGAATTTCTGAGGGAAAGATAACTCCTCGTGGCTTTTCCTTGGTTTCAAGCTGAGAAATGCACCCTGTTTCCTGGCTGGCAGCAAAGATGTGGGTGATGTATGAGGAGCAGCCCTGACTGAATGCAGGAACATGCTGCTGCCATTTAATCCAAGATAATATATTTCACCATCATACGCCTGGAGTTTTTCAGCAAATGGTTTAATGTTTTGGAAAATATTTGGCTTGCCTTGGAAATGTTTCCCATTTGAAAACAAGCTGCAGTGGGAGAGCTGGCAGTTGCACAGGAGGCTGCTCCATGAAAATTGGATTTCCCTGAGTGGCGCAGTGGGAATGGGTCACAGTGAGGGCTTTGAGCAGCTCCCAGAAAAGGCTCCAGGCTCTACAGATCTGCCAATGGAGAACTCCTCCCCTTGGTCTCCAGAGGACTGCTGTCACCTCGTAGCTTGGCAGAAGAGGGATTTGGAACGTATTTTATTCCTGGTTTCTGTCCCTGGGGCAAGGAGGACGTGCAGAAGAAGAGCAAAGCCTGGCTTATACTCATGAATTAAAAATCTTGGGATTAGTTTAAATCTCCAGCTGTGGAGTAGAATCTCCATTCTAATTTTGCTCTCATTTTAAGACTATTTTCTTAACCTCAACAACTACAGAACCATTAGCTGGCTCTAATTTATTAGTAAGCAACACCAGGACACCTGGTCCTGGTTGAGAGAGCCAAAGGTCTCATGTATGAACTCAAGTGACACACTGAATTTCCTCTGGGGCCTCTATTACCTGCACAGGAATCAACAGCTCCCCCTCTCAGGGGTGACGTGAGGACAAGTTCTGCTGCTGTTGTGATAATGCTGAAAGAGGCTGCTTGCTCCAGCCCTGGAGAGATTTGTTACTGTGCCTAAGCCCTTCTGGACACGGATTTATTGTTCAGCTTAAGCACAAGAAACAATACTGCATCCAAAAAAGTTCCTCTCCCACCCTGGCTTGCAGCTTTCCCGGGCTTTTCCCTTGCCTTTCCCAGCACAGAGGACCACACACCCTTTGGTGCTGGTTCTTTCTTCCACATATCAGCAGCTCCTATCTCCACCCCTCGTGCTGCATGGGACCCTGCCTGCCCTTCAGGGTGCCACAGCCTGGGCCAGCTCACCCTGCTCCCAAAGCCTGCACCCAAACCTGCTTTTTTGTACATTTTTTTCTAGATTGATCCCTTTCCCTCTGGGACAGGAGGTGGGAATGTGCCTCTTGATCCTGCAGCAGATGTTATGCACGGGAAGGTTGTGCATGAGGCATGTGATAGGAGTGTACTCCATCTCACTGGCACCCTGCATGCTGCCAGTGAGGATGGTTTGCTGACAGAAGGCCGTCACATTCCCAGATGACCTCCACAAAGCTGTCTCAGTGTGGGTATAAGGCAGGATCCCTGGCTGGACCGGTTTGAGGTGCCCATCCCCACCTCCTTCTTGAGAATGAGGCGTGTTTTAGCCCTTAGCAAGCTCGTATGAACTCGATAAAAATACAAGGCGGATTCCTCCCGTTCCCACTGACAAAACCCGAACTGCACAGCGGGAGGTGGAGTAAAACAACCCAAACTTGGCAGGAACGCGGAGGGAGAGGGTCCGCAGCACACAGCCACGAGAGGGCACGAGAAGCAAAGCTAAGACCCTTCTTCAAAAGGGCTCCCCGCGGGGCTGAGGATTTATGAATGACCGGTCTTCTTTCTCAGAGCAGCTGAGCTTCTCCTTGTGGATGTGGATTTCTGTGTTCCCAGGCTGGCACCTACAGCTGAAGGGACACCTCAGTTCTTGGTGCCCGAAGGAGGACAGCCTCATGATCGGCATTCCTGGCTAATGTTCCCTGCATCCCCCGTCCCTGGGTAACTTTTCCAGTCCCTCTGTGCCGCATCCTTACCTGGGAAGCGTGGCAAGAGGAATGAGTTAAAAGGTGAATCACCTGCCCTCTATGGCAGTACCTGCACAGGGCAGATGGACTCTTGAGAGTGGGAAGTGCTTGGGTTTCAAGGTTTATTGTTAAACATCCACCAGTGCAAAGGAAAGAGAATTTGTCCTGTTTTGCAGCAAAGCCTGGCTCTGTGCTTGCTGTTTACAGTCAGAGTCCATGGGATGTCCCTCTTGCCCTTCCTGAAATGTCTAAAAAAAGCATCTTCAGTTGCTCTGCGTTGCAATGGGACATCACCAGCTTGTTCTAGGGCTGGGTTGTGTTATTTGTCACAACAGGGAGCAAGTGGGACAATGGGAAGAAGTTGAAGAAAACCCTTCACTGGGTCTGGGGGGCATGGAAGGAATTATGAGAGGCTGTGCAAAATGGCTATTTCACCCCAAGGCAGGACCAGCCCACCCTAAACCAGCCCTGATAGTACCTCCATTAGACTGGGAGTGAGGTTAATAGTCCTTGTAGGAAGGGATGGGAAAAAAAAATTAGAGGAAAAAAAATTGTACCTGGAAAATAATAATGTGGGTCACTGCTCGGTCAGAGGGAAAAACAGAGATGTGAAGAGATCCCTGCCTGGGAGCATTCAGCTGCTTTCTCTGCCTGGCTCTGGTGTTGCCCTGTGACAGCAACAGGATTCTGGCTTGCACAAGGACCACTGTGTCCTATGATACCCTTGATACCCTTCCCTAATTTCAGTGAGTTCTTGTTCCTGCTGCCTCAGAAAGGTTTACTGACAGTGAGACATATGAGGTGAGAAGTCAGCCTTGAGGTTAACACTGAAAAATAATTTGTGGAGGGAAAGAAAGTACATATTTGGTAAGGTTTACATGCCAGGTCTTGAACCAGTAGAACTGTTTTGGCAAGAAGCATGATTCTGTTTGACTGAAATAGTTATGAATCCAACTTCAAGGCTGATTGCATCTTTATGACCTGAAATTACTTTATAGCTGTAATTTATTCTCCCTTTCCTACAGGAATAACTCTAGCAAGGACTCATCTTGCTGTAACTAACACCCAGAGGGTGATCAAAGAACAGTTATTCAGTCTGACAAAACAGGAGCTTGAGGGGCTCACAAAAACCTGTCAAGTGGCGTGTTCAACACCGTCAAAGAGAGGCACTTTGTGTACTAAAGCTATGGACTGCCTTGGGTGGGTCCTGTGGGCACTGATGTGAGTTCAACATGTGGGCAAGTTCATAAGATTTGATGAACAGGGACCCCACCACCTGTTTTGGGTAGCCTTGAGCCCCCAGCTGCTGGAAGAGGGATTTGACCCCAGCACTGGGTCAGGGCAGAGCTGCCTCTTTCTTACACTCTTTGGAGGCATGATCAGAGATAGGGTATTGGACTAGGCTGACTTTTGGTGTGACCATATACACCCATGGGACGTGTGTCTATGACTGTGTCTATCCCAGCTGCTTTGCCAGCACTTCAGGGTTGGGTTTCCCTGCACTTTTGACACACAGAAGGCACATGATACAGAGATTGAGCCTTTGAAGGTCAGAGTCTTCACCCAGAAGTGGCCTGCAAGCCAGACAGTACATCTGAAAAACCATGCCCAGGTCCAGCATCCTTTTTTTATCACCTAGTTGAAGGTTTAGACACCACTCACACTTGGAAAGCTACAGCCCTTCAGAATGACTTCATGGTTCCTATGCAATACAAACATAGGAGAAAGGCTCTGATGCAGTGAGGACTCCTCCTTTCAAACCGGTCTCTGTTATTCTAAAAAGCTTATAGAATAAAATTATTATAACATTTGAATTCAAGACATGGATTTATGTGCTCTTCATAAACACCGTCAGAAAGGGTTTTCAGAGCCACAGGGATAAAAGGTAAAATTGCCTTTATTCAACTTAGTATAAAACAGGAAGAGGTAGAATGAATCATTTCTAACATGTTAACCTTTCCATAACCCTGTCCATTAGATGCTTCTGATGTCTCTGAACTGAGCCCAGGTCTTGCCATTTAAACACATCTTTCAGACCACAACACTTTATCCAACATGATGGCTCAAATCAGGCATCTATTCAGTTATTTATTTCTCATATATATCCTTATTTCTTCTTCCAAAAGTGCTATGCAATGCCTCAGAAAAGCTTGTGCATGTCAGTTCCTGGAAGAGATATGATTTTTTGCAAGCAGCAAAATCCAAACAGAGCCAACAAGCTCCACCGTGCCCCTCCTCTGCATTTTTGTGAAAGCACCTTAAAAACACATTGCAAAGCAAGTGCACTTCTCAGGTTGTTACCACAACCCAGCTGCAAATTGAGGAGCAAATTTCTTACCATTAATATTCAGGCTTTGTGCAACTTTGAGTCTTGAGTTCTAAAAGGTCATATCTCAGCAAAAGGTAGGAAAAATTTTATTTCCACGGGATTTTCTTTAGAATAACTAACTATCAACTCTCCGATGAAGAATTCAACTCTTATATGTTATGGCAATAGTTTTTCTATTAGAGAACTATTTTTTTTCATTTTTTGTGTGTTCAGAATCTGCTGTTAATGACTCCATTTTCTGTGCATCCCCTCCAGCACCTGGTGGTGGTAGTTCTTCTTCTGGAATAAACTGAACAGGCCAGCATCTTCTTTGTTGGCTTGCTCCATTGTCCTTACTCACCTTTCCAATTTGCTGGAGATCCTTGACAATTATTTTTTCAGTATCTTCTAGTACCGTTGTCAATAAATTAAACAGCAGAGCAATCCAGGCAAGGCCGAAAAGAATCCAAATGGCCACCAGCACTCGATAGTAGGAAAAGTAATTCCTGCCAGACTGTTTGCCTGAAGATAAAGGGAGAGAAAGAAGAAAATTAACAAGTTAAAATTGCCTTGCCAAAGTAAAGTGGAACAGTTTAATGAATTCATCAGTATATTTTACACTGAGAACTTCAGGGTGACTTTTTCATTGTAATGGAGACTCTCACCTCTCCAGCATTTGATTAAGGCTGAGCAATGGTTTATTGTGTTTATTGTTGCAGCAAACTGATATATGCTAGCACAAATATGCTGGCCTGTCAAAAGACACACTGGGATTGAAGTGAATCATTCCATGGTTCTATGATTCTGTGATTGAGGTGAATTAGCATGAGAGCAGGATATTTTTTTTCCCCTTATACCATATCACTCCTGGTTCAACTGCTGCATTTACAGGTAAATGCAATTATGTGGGAAGTAGTGTTAAATTGTACTTATTATCTTGGAAATATTCCCAAACTCCCAAAGCATAAAAAGCAGAGCACATTGGGCTGCTATAATCACACAACCTTTACTACCTGGGTTATTGTAATTCTCTGTATTTCTAGCAGAGTGTGATTACAACCTAGTAAATATGTCCTTTAAATTATAGGTACCTGTGTTCATACAAAGAGAGTACTTGCAATTCCTACCTTACTTTTCAATGGTTTCAGGAGCTTCCTCCATTAAAAAAACTAGGTGACTGATGAGAATTCATTGACACATGCCAAGAACACAACTTTCTGCACTGGAAACCAGTGAACCAAAGCTCATTTCATGCAGTCCAACCCTCTTAGCATCAACCAGTATCTCACACTCGCTGTTCTGTGTGGGTCATTTAGTCTGATCTTTCATATGTCAGCAATCTACCCCCAACACACAACAAAGCATTTGCTCCTACTGAACTTGGTCCCACACAACATTATCACCATGATACAGGTGATGTGGCACTGGCATCTGCAGGAAAACTTGGTGATATTGCTTATTGAGTGCTCCAAGTCACTGCCAGGGGGGACTCCACATAGTTGATAACACAGCCATGTCCATGGACAGGGAGATCACCACAAACCTGGTGGATCACTTCCCTTTGAGAACCTGCATGGAAGGAGTCAGGATGCTGGCAACTCCTGTCAAATCCTGCAGTGCTCTGAACTGCACAGGTTAATGTGCAAGATTTTTGTTCTTCGTCATGCAGGAGCTCTGGAAATGGGGTAGGACTGGGCAGGTCTGTCCTCATGGATAGATATCCAACAGCTGTTTCTTTTCCTCCTGCTGGAGTTGAGTTGGCAGAGACATTCTCAGCCTTGGCACAAAGCATCTCCTTGTGCTCTTATCCGAAGTTCAAGATGTGGGGTTAGCAAAGCAACTGGCAATATCTTTATAATGTTAACTCAAAACTGGACTTGAGCAGGGCACATATTTGGTTAACAGCTCGCAGGGAGTTTCACCCTAGAGGTATCACCTATATGCACATATATTCCAAACAATTAAATCCAGGCTCTGCCACCTTCCTAGTGTGTCTCCCTACCCAAAACAGGCTTAGCTACAAAACAGTTTTGAATTACTAAAATGCAAATAAACTCAAACCTGTTCTGTTCCGCTTGGCCAGCACAAAACCACTTGTCATCTGTAAGCAATGCCTGACACTCAGAGCAGTCACTGATTCTGCTTGCCTCACTGTAAAGATGTGAAGCATTAAACCTATCACTATTTTATTACTGTTGTTAAGGTAAATTAAGATAAATTCTGGCAGGGAAAAATATTTCAGCTCCAGTTAAGTCATCCTAATGAAGGTGAAATCATAAAGCCAGGAGGCCTATCTAATTGTTATTTTTAAATAACAATTTAAAAAATTAAAATACAATTAATTGCATTTGTAAAGTAATATGGCTGCAGAGGAGGAAAGTGCTGTAGAGGTTGTGGTGGATTTCTGTCCCTCAGAAAGGAACATGAGGCTTCCAGATTCTTTGTAGGGACAGCACAGCATTAGCTACACAGCTTCCTTTGCACATCCCCACTGAGAAGAAGTTCAGGCTGGCAAGATGCTGGCAGGACAGGTGATTGTAGAGAAATCTTTGATTCTCCATGGAGTCCAGGTGTTTGCTTGCTTCTTCTGTGGACACTGATTTGGCTCCTGGTGAACATTTTGGACTTCCTCTGGAAATTCCTCGGAGAGTGTATTTTGGTCAGCAGATCCACGGAAGCATTCTGAGAAGCATTCTGGAATGCTTGAATGTATCTTAAACAGTTTTCCTTCAGGGGAAGTCCTAAGCTCTGGTTTGTGAAGACAGAGAACCTTCAGAGATGCTCAGGAGATCAAAGAAGGCCACTTTTGCAGTGATACATATCTTTAGGCCAACTTCTCAAAGAGTGAGTAGATTTCTTCGCTTTCCCATGACTGGGATTTCCACCTCTCTGTCTGTTGTGTAAAATCATGTATTCTGAAACATGATTTCTTTACTCTACACTTTGAAACATAAGTCTTAGATAGCTAAAGCAGTGATATGTGCCTTGTTTTGTATGACTGTCTCTAACTGTTCCCTTTTGGTGTGTACAAATTGCCAAGCTCATTGAATTCTCCCCTTACACTTCTCTTTTCCTCACCAAAATACTTGTCTTCTTTGCATCCCAAAGCACCTCATTTCATTATATTTGTCAGCACATAAAATCCCTGAGAAAAGAGTATTTCCCCCAGAACTGTATAAGGCAAAGACTAGCCAAAGACTTCTGTTGACAGATTTGTCTGTACAGCACACTGGTGGCCTGTGCAGTCAACCCATGGGAATTACAGTCATAAACCTGCTGTTTTGATGTGTCTCCTCTCTGCAGTCAACCTTACCTACTACATAATCTCCAAAGCCAATGGTGCTGAGGGTGATAAATGCAAAGTAAATTCCTTCGCTGTAGGACCAGCCCTCTGTTATCTGGAAGAAGACTGATGGCAAGCACAGAAAAACTAGGATCCCCGTTGCCAGGAAGAACAAAAGGGTCAGAAATTTGATCTTCTTCTGAAAAATAAACCAGTTCAATTATAATCATGATTTGACATGCTAGTAGGCCATATACAGTGGTGGCTGTTCAAAGTGGGTGGCTATCTAGGACCACAGGGACGGAAGGATTTCTACTGAGTGCTTTTCCTCTGGAAGCACCCCAGCCTTGCTTGGGAGCAGGGGGAAGCCATGTGTTATGGGTGTTTCATGTCCACAGTAGCCCTGGAAGATGTAGTCTTTTATGTGATTGTATCAATGACCACGAGTATAGGAGGAATTCCTATCCAATGAATTTTTCTGGAGTCAGACTATTTCCACTTATCACTAGACTACATAATTTTTAATTTTTAGGTATTCAGGGTTACCACCTAAAGACATTTAAATTTGCCTGGGAAAACGGACTTTTTTACAAAAAATATTTGCACCATTTCTGACAGTATTATCTTCAAGAGTCTTGATTATTGACTTTATTTCTCATTGCATCAGTGCCACAACTTTTCTCCTACCCAGTGAATATCTTACTACAAGAAAACCTTTAACTAATGAGGTCCTGATAAAGAAGTGCCTGGACAGTGACTTTTGAACCATTCTACTTCCCAGCAGTCATGAAGAAGCCTTGACTGGAGAAAAAGACTTGTTATATGTTAAGATTTATCAGCCAGACATGCATAAATTTCATGTATAGATTTTTATTAGTCCAGATTGCCTGAAAATCAATGGCAACTGTTGGATAATTTTCCACGTCCTCATGCATTGTGCACTTGCTTGTGTCTGCATCTGAGCAAGCCCTAATTTCTATTTAAGTTTGTCAGATATGGCAAGAAATTCAGCAATCTGAACAGGGTTATCTGTAGCATTCATACCTTATCCTGAAAGAGAACAGTAGGAGACACAGAAAAGCTATTCTCACTTCCTCAGCAGTGGTGAGAGAAAGGGAGGAGCTGCAAATAACTTGGGACATACACCAGACAAGACACATCCTGTCTCTAGCCCTTTACAGGTGTCTCCTCACCTTTCAGCAGCTGGGCTCAAATGAACAACTTTGGTCTGATGCTTCCTTATTGCCAAAGTCAAGGGTGGAGAGGGAGTAAAGGACTGTGTAACGAGTTAGGAGCAGTGACACGCTATTCATTGAGTCAATATTCATTAAAATCTCTGCAGCTCACCTACTTTTAACAGCTTTTCACAGCTCACCTGCTTTTTGCTGCCTCACGATGAGATGTTTAATCATCTTTACTGGTTATAAAGGGAGGCATGTACTTCCCTAGAGTGTTAGGTCCCGAGGTAAGTGTCTGGAGAAGTGGGATGGGATGCCCACTCTCTCCACTGATTGCTGAAGGGGGTTGGATGTCTGCATTTAGATGGGAAGATAAAATGCATCCCTTTCTCTGAATATCTCTACAGTTACCATGTCTGCTTAGCTCCGTGAGTGAAGAATTTGTCTCTCCCTCTCCTAGCACGTCTAACATAGCATGAGAACAGATAAATTAGAGGATAGGGCAGCATAAAACTTGAGAAAAAGAAAAACTAGAGTTGAGTATATAACTGTGCCTGAGTAAGTAGAAACAATTACCTTTCTCATTCCTTTCTCGTACAGGAATTTCCCCAGCTTTTTACACAGCAGTGAGAGCATCTTACCAACACGGTGCAGAAAAACAATGTTGAGAGGGATTCCAAAGAGAGCAAAAAACACACAGAAGATCTGTCCCCCAACAGTTCTAGGATGTAACGTGCCATAGCCTATGAAAAAAAAGATTGGTTAGAGAAGATATTCCAAAGTACTGGAGCAGTCCACAGTCACATTCAACCCTACCCCCAATCCAGCCTGCCTGTGACCCCAAAAGATGTGGTTAGCACTTCTCAGGACATGTGAATTCTTTTCTTCTCTGAAAAAGGCAGTAAGCAGATGAAGTGATTCACCCTGCATGTTTGGGGTGATGCAGAGAGCACTCTGTGCTCCCGACACAGACTTAGTGGGAACAAAAGTTCAATCTAGAAGCAGTTATGGGTAATGTGCTCTGTCCTGCAACAAATACATGGAAAGACAGAAAACAGAAGTCTGAGGATCTGGAAGACATCAAGGCTGGAGTCCCAGGCTGTTAGAATCACATGCAGCCATTTCTAGCTTCTTGTTGATCTGCCTGTGTGTTAGTGACCTCTCTGGCTAAATCCCAGTAAGCTGGTGTGTCCAGATACTGGCTCCAGTCCCAAGGAGCACAGTGTGCATTTGGAATAGATGGTGCTAATTAGTCCAGATCCCACTGGTGGCTGATGTATTCAAGCCACAGAGATATTTGTCTTAAAGTCCTACTAAAAGAGGATTTATCTCAGTAGTGGAACAACTCCAAACATATCTTTTAATGATCTGGAGACTCTTAGACACCATGAGGTACAACCCTGAGTGCAAGAGTACTGCCCTTTGTGTTTGTCCTTACTCTACCAATGACCCTGGGAAAAGGCATTTCCCAAGCACAGTTCATCTCAAGGCATGCATTACTTGGAAAATGCAATGTTTTCTTTGGGGGGAAAAGACAAATAAAACAACTGAGTGATTTTTTTGTCTACAAGATCCCAAATGCATGAGTTGTGTTGTGCTCCTGTTGCAGAAATATTCCATTTTCACGGAAAAAAAAGCTGGTGAAGAGAAGTACCTGACATGCCTTCACAACAGACCTTTGTGGCGGAGGTGCAGAGAAACAGGCACTGGTTTTGGCTGGGATAGAGTTAATTTTCTTCCCATCAGCTGGTATGGGGCTGTGCTTTGGATTTGTGCCAGAAACAGTGTTGCTAATTAAGGGATGTTTTGGTCATTGCTGAGCAGGGCTTGCACAGAGTCAAGGCCTTTTCTGCTCTTCACCCCACCCCACCAACGAGGAGGCTGGAAGTAAACAAGGAGCTGGGAGGGGACACGGCCGGGGCAGGTGACCCCACCTCACCTAAGGGACATTCCAGACCATCTGGTGTAATGCTCAGCATATAAAGCTGGGGGAAGAAGAAGGAAGTGGGACACGTTCAGAGTGACGGCTTTTCCTGTGCCACTCATGGGCAGGCTGGAACTCCAGTGAACCTGAGTTCACAGACAAAGGGAGTGTGGATGGGTCCAGGTGGGAGCAGGGCACCCTGAAACATCTGTGGCTCTGGATAAGCCTGTGACAGAGCAGGTCCATCTTAAAAGGCCTGTGGTTATGTCTGTGCCACAGCAGGTACACCTCTGAAGGGACTGTGGCCCAAGAATGAGTCCACACTGCAGCAGGTACACTGGATCATCCGTAGCTGTGGATAAGTCCACGCTGGAGCAGCTCAAAGCATGTGTCCATGGATAAACCCATGACAGAACAGGCACACCCCTGGAGGGACTGTAGCCAGGTGTAAGGTTATGTTGGAGCAGGTTCACATCTGAAGGGACCGTGGCTGTGGGTAAGGCCACGCTGGAGCTGGTACAGCTCTGAAAGTGTTGAGGCCCATGGATAAGGCCATGCTGGAGCAGGTGCACCTCGAAGTGACTATGGCTGTGGACAAGTCTATGCTGCAGCAGGTACAGCTCTGGAGAGACTGTGGCTCACCGATAAGGCTCCACTTGGAGCAGGTACAAACAACCCTAAGGGACCACAGTCTGTGGATAAATCCAAGCTGGAGCAGAGGCAAAAGGAAGAGTTCATTGCAATGTTAAACCATATGACTTGGTTCAAAGGGACCAAGGCAGAGATTGTAAAGGAAATATATTGTTGTAACCTGGGACCTGAGTTGCATGTTATGGGAATTACTACAGCAGGAGCCACCAGAACCAGTGGAGAAGGCTTGCAAGAAGCAGTGCAAGTGCAGCAGTGACCCAACCTGAGCTGCCTTTGGTGATCAGTAACTCCACTTCACACGGCTCCCCTCCTGTCCTGAGTGACCACCACAACAGATTGAGCCCAAAGTCATGGTCTAAATGAACTCACTGGGCATTTTGTGGACATCTCTGGACCTTTATGGGCATTTTACAGACATTTCACAGGGGTAATCCATAGACTAAGGGAATGATATCTGTGTATTATATCAAAGGATGGGAAGAATGGTGGTGAGTATTGAAAATGTGTTGGATAGTGTGAGACTTGGGCATGATGTAAATGGTGCACGAAATGAGGGGTGGGTGTGCTTATTTTGGCTGGGGGTACTTAATTTTCTTCTTTGGATTTGTGCTGAAAACAGTGTTTCTAATTGAGAGATGTTTTAGTTCTTGCTTTGCGGCACTTGCACAGAGCCGAGGACTTTCCTGCCTTTCCTCTGCAGCAGGAGATCTCCACATGGGTTCATGCAACACCTAAACACCTGCCCTGATGCTGGGACGACATTTGGGCCTTTGTAATATGTAACACCCATGGATCAGTGGAGCAGCTGTGCTTAGGGTGTAGTGGGAGGGAGGCCTCAGCTTCACTCTGCAAAAACATAGATTTGACTTCCACTTCATGAAAGTGTGAAGCAGGTGCCAACAGTATGGATTTTTTGCTTAAGCTTGGCAGGCCTGCACTTTTTAGGATGCATATTTGAGAGAAAGGGAGAAGCAGGTAGGAGCAGGCGGGCCCTGAAAAGGTCAGAACAGCTTGAAGCAGCAGCATAAAGGTCTCAGTATTTGCCTTTCTCTCTTCCCATTTTTTTTCCTTCTGGCATATTACTAATTCAATATGTGAATTAACAGCTCAAGACAGGTTATTGAGACAGTGCCCATGCCCCAGCAGGGTTCACTTACTTCCTACCATTCTTTTATCCTTTACAGCACTCTCAGATTTAAAGCCTATTTGACCCTGGAGTAAAGACCAGGAAAGTGATCTCCCCCACACAACTGTCAGCAGAGCAAACATTTTAACAGATGGCTTGAAAAGAAGAAACAAGTGGGAAATAATATGAAAGGCTACTGCTATTGGACAAGCCAAAATAATGCACGAAGAGCTGTGCCATGATAAGGACTAAGTCCATGGTTGCTTACTGTCAGTGTCAATGAAGGGCTGGAGTTTTTATCCTGGAAAGTATTATCCATTCATGTCCTAATTACCAGAGGTAATAAGCATCATTCACGCATGAAGCACACACAAATGAAAAGCATTAGACCTACCTATTGTGGAGACAACTGTGCCTGCAAAGAAGAAGGAGTTACTGAAATCCCAGTTGCTCTCTTCAAACCGTGATTCATTTCCAACAGGGTATACTCCATTTTGAATGGCTTCGGTCAGGTTCTGGGAGAGAAGGCAAAGTTTGGTATCATCATGACTGCTTTTCTGAAGTGCATGATGCAACAATACTGCAGGTATATCCAACTACTGCTCCTTTCCTGTGAGTACCACTCACCTGACTGTGGTGATCCTCTACACTACTCACACCTTCACCTCCAAGGTTGGGTAGCAGTTAGTTGGTGGTTTTCAGTGTTCATCTTCTGCCCCGTTTATGCTGACTGCCTCAGTGGGTGTTACGAGAACTTTTAGTGCTTTTTCTTTCAGTGGGATCAAGGACCTTGATTGTTTTAGTCTGAGTACTTTGGGAAAAAATGATCCTATAGATGGCTAGGATGTGGTAGAGCTAGACTAAGGGATGGGATGGCTGGTTGCTAGATTTGGATTCACCCTTGAGGTGGCACTGGTGGATCCAGGATCTGATCACCCACCTGTGCACAGGCACACTGAGCAGTGACTCTGATCTGTGCCAGGGATGCATCGGGGAGTTGTGGCAGGGCACACATGACATACACCCAGAATTTAATTTTAGGGCTGTATTCTGGTTAGTGTCACAGAATTACCTTCAAAGAAAGTCCACTGATTTGCAAAGCTGGACATATACACTTTTCTCCAAACTGCATGCATGAACACACATGCACATATTTACAAAGTGGCCTTTGAGATGAGGTTAGAGGAACATCTGTCAGAGATGGAGTGAGTTGAGACTGCCCTGCCATAAGGGGCTTGACTATCCAAGCCTCTCAAGCCCTGTCATCTATCACTTTAAGCATTTTCAGACTCTTCTTTCCCTTTGTTTTAATTCTAAGTGCTGTTAATTTATTTAAGTTAAAAAAATAATAATTAAAATAATTAAAATTGCCTTTAGCAAACAGAGAAGATCGGACTGGACATCTGGAAGGCAGGCTGGTTTGTAAAGAAATAATTGAGTCAAAATCCAAGACAGATCCCTGCCAGAGGCAAGACACAAGCTGGAATAAATTGCACCAGCAAAGTCTTCCTCCCTGCTTCCTCCCTCACTATCCGTTTTGCTGGTGTTACAGAAAATCAGGGCTAACAAAAATCATTCCATAGCCCTTGCACAAAGATTTCTTTGTCTTGAAAAGTTCATCTTTTTTTTTACTCCCCTACCCATAAAAACCAATCAAGGTGAAGAGAATGCATGTGTAGGTGAAAAGGGGGCTGAATTGCTGGTTGTGTTATTAGAAATACCATTTCTTCCCCACCTTTCATTATTTTGCAAACAAGCCCATTAAGAGCTCCATTCCTTTCCCATGTGGAAATGCTTCCACGCAGGGCTTTCACTCCTCATTTTCTCTATCTTGCAGCAGATAGAGCTAGGAAATACTGATGATGGAGAGACAACCGTACTTCTCAGCTCCCTGTGCTGTGATCAGAAACACTTTCCCTCTGACCAGACTACCTGTTTCACTTCTACACCATCTTCAGAAGGTAAGCCCTGACCATGCCACTCTCCTGGTAGTAATTTGGGCTTCTTTTTTTTCCCCCCGTTCAGACCTTGCCTTATTGTTCCTTGGTGCTACCAGTGACACTGTTGTAAGTGGAAGCCACAGCCATTCATTTCAGACAGCCTTATTTTTCCTGCCATTCCACCCATTGTGTATGAGCACAGCCACACTGAGAGCTGAATCAACAGGAGGCAAGAACCCCCCCACCAAAAAAAAAGGACATTGCAGGATGGGGACTATTAATAGCTACCACACACAAGGTTTTGTCCAGCTACACAAGCTGTATTTACCTTCAGAGTGACCCTCTCAGACGGGAGAGGGGTTTGCTAAAAGCATCCAAGTGACCGCATCAGGAGAGCAGTGAAAGTCAACCTGTGTAGCAAGGCTAAGTAGGAAACAACACCTAATGAGGAAAGAGCAGGGAGAAAGGACTTCCACAGGGCTCCACTTACCTTCATGAACTGCTCCATCTCCACCACCGTGAGCTGCCTGAAGCTCTGCAGAAAAGCCTCCTTCATCTGGGCGGCTGCCATTTTCTCCTGCTTCTCCGCGGTCCTCTCCAGTGCCTGGAACACCGCGGCACCCACCAGCAGGTACACAAAGTAGCCAGCCACCAGCAGACCTGTCTGCAGCTTGCCTCTGCACATGGCCTTCAGTGGGACACAGAGAGGGATGAGGGAGTGAAAGGTGGCGATTAGTAAATCCCTTGCACTCCTGGGAAGGCCTCCCCCCCCCCGGGCAGGAAGAGCCCTCCCAGCTCTGGCTTCCGCTGGGATCCTGTGCTGACAGGGACAGCGAGCTGCCAAATACATTCATTGGGAAGTTGGGTAAAAAAAAAACCAACAAACCAAAACACAACGAACCCAAGAAAAAACTTTCCACTCTCTGGGCTGCATGCTGTTTAGGGATTTCCTCTTGTCTGTGAAACTCTCCCTTGCTGATTTCTCAGGAAAAGTGGGTCAGGATGCGAGGAGCTGGCGGGTGGCCATCTGCTGCTCAAGAGGCTCTGGGGACAGGTGAGGATAGTCTGTAAATGGTCCACAGGGGAGTTTGCTTGGAAAAACATGATTTACACTCCTGTGTCTCCTGCTGAGTCCAGGAACTGGACTCCAGGGCAAGCCTCGATGATCCCAGAAGCCACTTCTTGCCCTGTGTTCAAGGGTAGCTTCAAGTAAGTCCAAGACTTACTTGGACTTACTTGTCCACTTCTAAGTGTCAGAGCTTGTTCCCATCAGAACTTGGGTGCCATTGAGAGGAATTTGTAGGGTGGCAGAGGGAAGTCCTTGAATGAAGATATTGACTTGGGAACAGATAGCAGACAGATCTGAGCTTGGCTGCACCATGGACATTGTTAACCCTCAGATTAACTTTCTTGACTTTAGATTTTCCAGAATTTTCATTTGCTTTGTGCACGATTTCTGTTATTTCAGCAGATGCTCTACTTTAATAATGAGAAAACACTGTAGCAAATCACCCTTTGAAGAAGCATTTAAAATGTTCCATATAATCTTCTCTTCAAGTCTTTGTGTTTTTATTGAGTTCAAAAATACCAGAAAAGGCAGAGGCTCTAGGATTAGTTTTGCAGAACTGGTGTAACCGAGAAGCAGCACATAGCTTCACTCTGTCAAGTGCAGGTCGTCCTTTCACACATAAATCTGTTTGACCTCAGAGGAAAACAGGAAGACTATGAATGAAGGTAAGTATCTTTCCAAACCCTTAAACCTTTAAAGACTTTCCTTAGAGTTACTGGAAAAGGGTTTGTAGAAACAGGATGTGTCGTTTTTCCTTTTACTTCTTTTGAAGTTACGACAAAGGTGTGCATCTTGCTCAGATTTAAATTATTTCTATAAAAATAAAGGCACCTATGGTTCACCATTTTGTGTCTCTCAGACTCCCAGCCCTGTGAGATAAGAGAACTCCCTTCACATATACAAAGGCACCATTTCTTCATCTGCACAACAGACATGAATATAATACAAGTGGGTTATTTCCTCAGTTCATCTGAAGGGAAAATGGATGAAAAAGCCATGAAAGTCATGGAAGATTGTGAGAATTTGATATTGATTGCAGTTGTAGTGGTTCGATCAGGTGGGTAAGTGCCAAGAAACCTCACCTTTTTCATGCTCTCTCCTCTGAACTGTATACTAAGCTGGATTTCCCTCTAGTCCCATCTCCAAGATAGCAGGTTTGCTATTTGTGCATGCATCTTCAGGACCCCTTGACTGCCAGGAAGATTGGTGACCTTTGTTTTTCTGTAGCTCTAGAACAGGCAATACAGATCACCTTATTCCAGTCTGTGTCTTCGTATGAAGAGTGTTCAATAAACTGCCTGCGAATCTGCAAAAACCACTACAGATTGTTCTGATGTGAGAGGTGTGTCCCATTACACAGCATCTTGTTCATACTTGGGTTGACACTTGCACAGGGAAAGAGGGAGGGAAAGAGGGAGGGAAAGCACAGTTCATTACTGTTGCTTTGGAGAAGACAGAGAAGAGGGAACTCATGTTCACTCAGTGGAATTCTTCACCTGAAACCATTCCTCATAAAAGGAAGAATAATTTCCGTTAGTGGTGACTGCTCTTCTCCTTACTTTGCCTAGATTAAAAACTACAAAACATGCTCTTGGTGGAGGCTGCAAGAGCTGTGCCACTTATAGTTATTGAATGTCACTGGACTGAGACAGTGCACCATCATCCATCCCACCCCAGGGGTCTGGATACTGGGTTAACCTGACACCATTCACCCCAGTTATGGAAACTAAGCACTTTCCAAGTGCTGGGAGCTGCTGTAGGTACAACATCCTCATCTGAGGGCTGATGCTGGCACCTCACACCTGCTTCATAAGCAGAGTGATAACTTGTTTAGAGAGCTGGGAAGGTAAATGGGGAGAGTGTATCTGGTGAACCAGCCACCATTACCTTTTTGCACTGTGAGATCATGAATACATCCCTCCTAGATGCAAGTTATCAAAGAAATCATAAAAGTCATAGAATAGTTTGGGTTGGAAGGGACCTTAAAGATCATCTAGTTCCAAACCCCCTGCTCTGGGCAGGGGGGCCACCGACTACATCAGGTGGGTCCATGCTCAGGGCCCCATCCAACCAGGCCTTGAACACTGCCAGGGAAGTTAGTACAACCCTACTAGTTAATCAAAACAAATCACTGGTGGGAGCAGTTTTTATCTCTTGTTCCCCAATACCTTGGGCCATGTGGGCCGACAGGCCTATTCAATGGCACTTGTTTCTCAAGAAAGAGCTGAAGAAGTGGATGTAAGGCCTAATCACTGTGACTTTTAGTTGTGGGAAACCAACAAATAGAGCTACCAATTGGAACACTTCTCCACAACCCATAAATTGACAGGAGGACTTCTGCTGGCCCAGTTCCCTTGGGACTGCCTCACTGCCACCTGTCCTGTAGCTTGTAGTTACAGCAACAACAGGGCCTTTTGGGCTGCCTGATGCTGTGGTGGGTTGGGGTGTAGTTTCCCGGCAAGGACTGCCATGGCAGCAGGATGTGGCTGTCATGGCCCTGCAAACCTTTGTGCCCAGGTGCAGTGAGGGCTGGCAGCTCCCTCAGGCCCAGGAGCTGGGAGCTGAGTGCGCTGACACCACAGTCTGTCTGTCCCACTGTCCCCATCCACGGAGCAGGGCAGGCCTGGACACCCTCTGCAGGTTCAATCACCCCTGCAGGGTGATCATGGGTCATGTTCATGGTGATGAGACAGGATGAGTTCAGGCTGGGAAGTCATCTTGTAGCTCAGAGTCACGTGCAGGGATGGCCAGGCAGGGCTTAGGGAGCGAGCCAGGCAGGGCTGTTGCTCTGCTGGTGGGCTTGGCTCATTGGGGCCATGGCTGGGCTGGGAAAGGCTGGGGGAAGGTGGAAATGGACAACCTGCAGTGCTGCTGGAACAGGGACTGATAGCTCTGGTGTGAGCTGGAGGTGAATCCTGGGCCATGGAGGGTGGAAGGGAAGCTTTGGGGGCTGGGTGGCCTTGGCAATCACGGATGCCGTGTGGCTAGTAAGGCAGTTAATCAATACTTTTTGTTCCTGAGCTAGGAGAGATCCATGGCACAGTTAATGGACAAGGGAAGGATAATAAAATCCTCTAACACTGCATTTTTAGTCTTAGAAAGCCAGACATTACTTTATTCACAGTGCTGGGGGGTGTGTGTGACTGACAGAATCCCAACCTCCACACAGACACTGATGCAACGCTTTTTCACCTATATATACACTTTTAGCAAACAAAGAAATAATGTTCATTGGTTCTAAACTATACAATTCCTTTTCATTAATTAGTCTTCTATCCTCAATTGGTTATTAATTTCTCACTGTTCATAGTAATTAGGTTCATATTTTTAGTATCTTTTTCCCTCGGTAGGGATTTTCCAACATATATACTGAGTTTTTGTTAACCTCTCCTTTATCTTCTGGTTTCTGCAGAATGTCCATGTGGTCCATAAATTCTGCACTCCTTGTATCCAATTTCAACAATACATCTCTCTCTTCCCAGGCTTTGCTCATTAAAGCCTATCAAGGTTAGTTTATCAAAAGCTAAAGTTTCAGTAATTTTCCCAATTTTCTCACAATGTCAGTTTATGTTAAATTCTGCTGAATGCCAGCTAAATTTTAAGGCCACACACACTACTTATTAACAACTAATTAACAACCATTAAAAAATTGGAAAAGTTATATCAATTCCAATAATTCCACATGCACTATTTACCCAGTCCATTGCAGGGAAACCCACGTAGTGAGATCCGGTGGTAATGGAGGGCAGGGAGCATTTCCTGCCTGTGACATGATGTGCTGGGACAGAGTTTTCTTACACTCAGTCCTGCTCTCACTCCTTTACACTCCAATTATACCCACGGTTTGGCCATTTCCTTTTTCTACATATGGCATTAGCTATCTTGCTGCATCCTTAAGCATTCTGTGTCCTTAAGCAGATTATAGCCTAAAATTAATTCCAGTTTAATGGAAAATGTTATCAGTTTCCATGGAAATGACTTACTATGTGATTGTGGTTGTATTTCCTGTTGTGCTTAGGGCTAAAACCATTAGATGATCTGTATTTTTTACACTTTCTTGCAGTTCTCCTATAAATACCTATTACTCATAACTGGTCAGAACATTCAGTCTTCAAATGTGGAATTTTGGTTTTTATACTGTGATCTTATGCCAGACTATTAAACACTTAGGCTAAAGCAGTATTCAACAGAGATCCTTATACTTCCTTTTTATTATTTTAGGTCTGCAAAGCCAAATTCCTGCAGATAACTATCTGCTGTCAAGGAAATGGGCTGATATCCATGAGTGAAGAAAATCTTGAAGCTGGTCACTTGCCTTTGCTAGTTGGCTGATACTGAGATAAGAGCTCTGGTGTTCAGGAGGTAAGGGCTGCTGTGCCAGACAGCCCAGCACGGAGAACTACCCAAGTGATCTGTGAGTCCGAACCCACAGCGCTGGCCAGAGTGATCAGCTGAGCACAGGAAGAAGGGAGGGTTATGGTAAAGATATTTTGAGTTTATTTTTCATTATCCCACTCTGATTTGTTTGGTAGAAAATTAAATATGTTTCCCCAAGTTGAACCAGAGTGATCTCCCTGTCCTTGTCTCAGCCCACAAGTCTTTGGTCCTGATTTTCTCTCCCTGTCCAGCCAAGGTCAACACACCACAAGCACTGAGTACTAGTGCCTGCATTCCTCACTAAAGTGAGGCACAGACACTCAGCAGAGGAAGCATTTGTTTAAATACACTGTTTATTGGTATTTTTGCACTGAGTGAAGCTCCCAGAGAGGCTGGACTCCCTC